GAATAAAATCATAGATATGGAGATCACTTGGAGGGTTATCAGTGGGCAGGAATAAGGGAAAGAATGGGGGAAAGGTACAGAGATTAAGTATAACTGGTAGGTAATAAATAGATGGGGATATTAGGAATAGTATAGGAAATGGAAAAGCGAAAGAACTTATATGCATGACATATGGATATGAACTAAGGGAAAGAGATTGCTGGGGGAAGGCAGGTACCGGGTGGAGGAGGGGAAGGGGGAAAAATTGGGACAACTGTAACAGCATAATCAATCAAATATACTTAAAAAATAAAATCATAATTGACTGAATAGTTATGAGTGTGAAAGAGCATTTTACAGAAAACAAAACAACTAGACAAAAACAAAACAAAATTTATGATTTTTAAAAAGATTTTATTTATTTATTTTTAGACAGAGAGGATGGGAGGGAGAAAGAAAGAGAGGGAAACATTAATGTGTGGTTCACTTGAGTGCACTTCCTGCGAGGGACCTGGCCTGAAACCCAGGCATGTGCCCTGACCAGGAATTGAACTGGTGACCCTTTGGTTCACAGGCTGGTGCTCAATCAACTGAGCCACATCAGCCAGAGCAAATTTATAATTTCTTAATAAAGTGCTGGAACAGTGGCCTGAAGTACATAAAACTATAGAAGCTGGGAGAAACTAAATCAGGTCCTGAAAATTCTTACTCTTACAAAAAAGCAAGGGAGGAACACTTAAATATTTTCAAATAAGATATGACCAGTGAAGGAAAATGAGAACAAGTCCTAAAATTATCAGTGTCATGAAACTTGCTTCAGTAAAAGTATAACCATATAAATGTAATGTCTTATTAAAGAAATAAAAAATTAAATCTATTAAAGTTGATGAGTGTAATTGGTTAAACTCTTTGATAGGAGAACATATAGTGCTTAGAGTAGTAAAATCAATGTGAGTTGTGGTTTCTGGAGCCAAGAGCACAAGTTTTTCAAGAAGAGTTAGTTGTTCAATGTCTGGCACAAATAATGCCCCTTTTTAGTCACAAAATCTTTTATTACAAAATCATAAGCATGTAATTATGCAACAGAACACATTTTAGGTGAAATGTTTAAATTGCTGTCCATATCGTGTCAGACATTCATGTATCCTACCAGCCACTCAAGCAAGCTTTACTTCGCCAGAACCTTTATATTCAGAACTGTGCTAGGCACTTTGAGAAACAGAAGAGAAGTATAAAACATAATCTCCGCTCTAGAGATGTTTATTATTTTACTATGGAGATAGGACATTTTTCATATAAAACAAACCAGACAACCACATAACATGCTTTATCAACAATGGCTGCTGTGCTTTGCACAACTTTGAGGGTACCATTTATGTCATAATCTATATGAGTGGCATCCCCTGGATTTGTGCAGTACACAGCCTGCTCAGCCAGACTTTATGGACCTGGAAATTACTCAGTTTTCATTTTCATTTGTTTCCCTGAGTGTAAGTAATGTAAATAATAAAGCTTCCCATGGCTTCCCATTTCACCAGAATAACACCACAGAATCTTAATTTGGCCTATTGCTAAATCTGATCCAGCCCCAACCAAACTCTCTAGCTTTATCTCTTTCCACGTCACTCCTCCACTAGACAGTTCAGGCTGACTGAAGTTATCTCGGATTCTTCAACAATCTGCCACAATCATGCATCCCTTGTCCAAACCAGAAACCTGAAAGTATCACATTCCATCTTCTTCACATTAATCATTTTGCCTCCTAAGTATCTCCTTAGACCTTTAACTTTTCTCTTTCAATTTTGCTATTGCTGTTCACCTGGTGTTGGTTCCTACAGCAGTTTCCTAAGTGGTCTTCCTGTATTCAGACTTATCTATTTTCACCTTTTCCCACATGTGTAATCAGAGTGTACTTTGCAAAGTACAAATTTGATTGTGTCACATTACTGACATTAATGGTCAGATACAATTTAAAATACTTGCCCTGGCTGGTGTGGCTCAGTGGATTGGGTGCCGGCCTGCAAACCCAACAGTCACTGGTTTGATTCGCCATTGTGGGGTATGCCTGGGTTGCGGGCCAGCTCCCCAGTAGGGGGTGTGCGAGAGGCAACCACACATTGATGTTTCTTTCTCTTTCTCCTCTGTCCCCTGTCTCTCAAAAAATACATTGTAAACATCTTAAAAAAACCAAAATGCTTAAAAATACTTTATTGGACCCTTCAGGATTTTTGTTTCTGTCAATTTCTTAGCCTTCTTTCTTGAACATTCTCTCTCCCCTCTTGCACTTTAGTCATACTGCATTCTCAGTTTTGTCAATATATCAAACTGTTTTTGGTTCTGAACTACATAGTTCCTTTTCATTGAAGTACCCTCCAATCTATTTACCTCTCTACTCCAATTTGTTAGCAGTCAATCTGCTCAGAAGCCTTCAGATATAAATTTAGATGTTACTTCTCCTGAGTTGCCTTTTCTGTGTTCTTTAAAGCCTGAGTTAGATGTTCTACTGTATGTTTGTAGAGCATACTCTACTTCTCATTTAGTTGCATACATCATAATGTGTTACATTTGTTTATCTCTCACAGTGTCTTTATAAGTTTCTTGAGGCCAAAGACAACTGTGTTTCAGCACCTGTCTACTCTCTCTCTCCATATATATATGCATAATATATTAATGCACACATATAACATGTATATGCATATATATTTTTCAATTATAGTTTACATTTGATATTATTATGTATTAGTTTCCAATGTACAGCATAGTGCTTAAAAGATCAGATACTTTACACTGTGCTCCTCCTGATATTTCAAGTACCCACCTGGCCCCATACATAGTTATTATAATATTATTGACAATATTCCCTATGCTGTAATTTACATCCCCATGATTATTCTGTAGCTATCAATTGTACTTCTTAATTCCTTCACTTTTTCCACCCATCCCCTCAACCGCCTCCCCTCTGTCAACTGAAACTCTGTTTTTTGGGTCCATGAGTCTTTTTATTTTTTTATTTTGTTCTTAGATTCCCCATATAAGCGAAATCATGATATTTGTCTTTGTCTGTCTGACTTATTTCCCTTAGCTTAATACCCTCCAGCTCCATTCACGCTATCACAAAAGGTAATATTTCATTCATTTTCATGACTGAATAGTATTCCATTGTGTCTATGTACCACAGCTTTTTTACCCACCTGCCTATTGATGGGCATGTGTGTTCCTTCCATAGTTTTGCTATTGCAAATAATGCTGCAATGAACATAGAGATACATATATTCTTTCAAATTAGTGTTTTGGTTTTCTTTGGATATATTCCCAAAAGTGGAATCACTGGGTCGTAAGGCAATTTCATTTTTACTTTTTCGAGGAACTTCCACACTAATCAACATTTTCCCCAGCAGTGCATGAGGGTACCATTTTCTCCACATCCTTGACAACACCTGTTGTTTATTGTTTTATTGATGATAGAATTCTGACAGGTGTGATGTGTTATCTCATTGTGGTTTTGATTTACATTTCTCTGGTGATTAGTAATAGTGAGCAACTTTTCATATTTCTATTGGCCATCAGTATGTCTTCTTTGGACAAATATCTATTCAGGTCTTCTGCCTACTTTTTAATTAGATTGTTTGTTTTTCTGGGGTTGTGTTGTCTGAGTTCTTTATAAATTTTGGATATTAACCCTTATCAGATATATGGTTGGCAAGTATTTCTTCCACTCAGAAGATTGTCTTGATTTTGTTGATGGTTCCACTTGCTGTGCAGAAACTTTTTAGTTTGATGTAGTCCCATTTGTTTATTTCCCTTGCCCAAGAAGATATGTCAGAAAAAATATTGCTCAGAGAAATGTCAGAGATTTTACTGCCTATGTTTTCTTTCAGGAATTTATGGTTATAGGTCTTACATTTAAGTCTATAATCTATTTTGAGTTTATTCTTGATATAGTGTCATAAGGTGGTCTAGTTTCTTTTTCTGCATGTATCTGTCCATTTTTCCCACCACCATTTATTAAATAGACTTTCGTTGCTCAATTTTATGTTCTTGCTTCCTTTGTCATAAATTAACTGAACATATAGTCATGAAATTATTTCTGAACTCTCTGTTCTGTTTCATTGATACATGTGAGTTTTTATGCCAGTACCATGTTGTTTTGATTACTATAGCCTTGTAGTATAGTTTGATATTAGGTAATATGATACCCCCTACTGTGTTCTTTTCTCAAGATTTCTGTTGCTATTTGGAGTCTCTTGTGTTTTCATACAAATTTTTGGATTATTTATTCTAGTTCTGTGAAATATGGCAATGGTATTTTGATAGGAATTGTGTTGAATGATAACTGATACGTCTTGAATGAATTACTCATTCCATGGTAATTTCTAAAATATGTGGTAGAAAAGGCTCAATTTATGAGCCCATAATCTTAAATTTTTCTTCATCAGAATAGAAGGTATTAATTAATATACCCCAATAACAACAAAATGATGAAAAAAACCTAAGTGCTTATTAGTGAATGAATGGATCAAAAACCTATGGAACATTTACACAATGGAATACTATGCAGCAGAAAGAAAGAAGGAGCTCCTACTCTTTGTAACAGCATGAATTGCTCTGGAGAGCATTATGCTAAGTGAAATAAGCCAGGTGGTAAAAGACAAATACCATGTGATCTCACCTATAAGAGGAACCTTATCAACAAAACAACCAAGCAAGCAAAATATAAACAGAGAGTTTGAAATTAAGAACAAACTGACAGTAACCATAGGGGAGGTGAAAGGGGATAATGGGGGGTGGGAAGGGAGGAAGAGATTTCAGAACAATTACAAAGGACACATGGACAAAGCCTAACAGGGATAGGATCAAGGGTGGGAAGTGGGGATGGCTGGAATTGGCGGTGGGGGTGGGGCATGGTGGGCAGAAAATGGAGACAATTGTACTTGAACAACAATTAAATTAAAAAAAAAGAAAGAAAACCATAATAAATATCACTGAAGTGCATATTCTAAAATTCAAACAGTTAACAGCTAATGATAGAGGTAAAACTACCTTTAAAAAGCTCTTTATGTATTAAGCTATGCATAATTATTTCCATTATAACAAATAACACTATAACAAGACTACTGCTATTGATTTCTACTCAAGTAGCAAATTAGTCTGTCAAAATAGACTTAGTATTTTGTCTAGTTGAATATTATAACTGCATTCAGATACCTTATGCCTGCTTCAGGAAATGGTAAAGATGGGGTTTTCAATAAAAATACACAAGTATTTTAAATACTTAAATGCAAATGTGTTAGTAATATCCATATTAGTAACCATTGTCAACTAAACATTTTAATTATTTTTTTAATTTTAAAGATTTTATTTATTTATCTTTAGAGGGGAAGGGAAGGAGAGAGAGAGAGAAATATCAATGTATGGTTGCCTCTTGTGGATCCTCTGCTGGGAACTGGCCTGCAACCCAGTTATGTGCCCTGACTGGGAATCGAACTGCGATTGTCTGGTTCACAAGCCACACTCAATCCACTGAGCTACACCAGCTAGGGCTAACATTTTAATTATTTTGATACAAATAATACAAAATATGTTTGTTTACTATAATCAAATTAGAAATAAAATGTCAGAGAAATAAAAGTGATTCCTTAGTGCATCTACTAAATTGGATTTTGTGGGTAAAGTTTTTATAAAAATATATTTTAATATTTCAGTTTAGTTTGAAATCAAGAACTATGTGTGCATTTTTAAGTTCTACATTTTTATGTATATTAAACTTGATAAAATGGAAAAAATCAAAATGTTGCAGGATTTTTTTTTGTATATAACAGCTGTTGAGCTTTATTATATTAATGTTATCTTTACAAAGGTTTTGGTCTATTTTAACTTTTTGTTATGTAAGTGTTCAACTCACTTTGAGTTTTGTCTCTTTTATCTGTTTTATCCTTGTAGCATTTCTACAGGAAAGCAGCTGCCTTTGTATTACAAGTAGTTGGTAAACATTCTCCTTAACTAGCTCAGGCAATAGTTGATTGTGAAACTCTGAATATGCTAGTGATATGCCTGGAAGATTTTTACCCTGGAGTCAAAGAGGCTGCAGCTTGGGCACTTGGATGTATAGCAAGACATAATGCAGGTATTGGAGCATGTTTTAAAATAGGATTATTTTAAAAGCCTAGGTGAGTTTTAGTAAAGCCTAGGTGAGTTTTTAATGATGTTTCTATATGTTATGAGAGATAAGCTCCAAATGATGCCCAGGTTGTTTGGGTTATAAATCTGTAAAAACATCTATACATTCCAGTCTTAGTTAGCAGAAGAGAAATCTGTAGATGGAAAGAGATGGTGGGGCAGGAATTGAGTGAATGACATATTAATTCTTGAAGTCCTTGGCAAATTGGTTCAGTTAAAAATTATTGTAGTTTGTCAGCCCTCAGGGTACATTGAGTCTTCACTCTTACTTATAATATAGAGTATTCCAAATTAGTCAGGAGCCATGTCATATGAGTGAGTAGTGTTGAACACATATGGACATAACTTTCCAGGACATGTTTGTATTCAGCTCATATTGGGCAGGAAGGAAGGAGAAAAAGAAGGACCACCTTTGCTTATTAACTGACAGCTCAGTGCCAGGACCTTTTTTGTGAAGGTTATGCTGACACACCTGATCAGCAAAAAATACATAGGGAACAAAACTGCCCCCACAACTTTATAGAAGTTGCTAAATAATATTAACAAATAATACAACAAGGCTATGCAGTTTAACATATGTAAAAATGACCTACTTTGTTAGTAATCAAGAACTGCTTATGAAAACTTCATAACCCCCTTTTATTACTTGGAGGAAAAAAGAGTAAAGAAGAAACAGAGCCAAGTGGCCATGAGCATTGTGGTATTAGGATGAGTTTCAGTACAAGTTTTACCATTTATTTGCTATGTGACATTGAGTATGGCTTTTAACCTTTCTGAACCTTACTTCCTCATCTACAAAAAGAGGATAACTACTTCTGGGTTACTTCAGAGATTTATTGTACATGGTCAAAGTAGCTACCTTAGAGATTTGTTGTGAGAATGATGAGATAATATATGTAAAGCACTTAGAACAGTGCTTGACACATGGTAAATATTCAAAAAATGAAAGGTATTAGTATTAATACTGAGGGTTAGAGAGAACATGATAATGTTTATAACCATTGGTGGAAACACTACAAATTGTATAAACTTGTGGAAAGTTGTTTGGTAAAAATCTAAGTCACAAAAGAGTTTATGGTTACTCTAGAAAGCCTGATTTGGGAATTGCTTTTAAGGAAATAATTCCACAGAATGAAAAACTGTATTCATGCAAATGTTATTATAACATTATTTGTAATAGCAAACCCCCAAACATTTGGCAGGAATTTAGATGTTAAATTATGGTAGTTTACTTAATAGACTCTCATTCAACAAAAAGTGATTATAAAGTAAGAAAGAACAAAATTATATATTACAATTATAATAATTAAACTTACAATTATAATAATAAAACTTATTATAAATAAGTTTTTATGTGAACATAAATTACAAAAAATACATGTTTGTATTACTAGGGTGTTAGAACGAAGGATATTTTTCTTCATTTTTCACATTTTCTTTCTTTTCTTCTTTTTTTGAAGTCTAGCTTTTTCTAAAAATTTTGTATTATTGTATTTTTTCCATTACCACGTAGTCCCCGTATACCCCTCTCACTCCAGCAATCACCTCACTGCTATCCACTTTCAAGAGTCCTTTTTCTTTTTTGCTCAACCCCTCCACTCCCTAACTTCCCTTCCCTCCAGATGTCATCTGCTCTCCATCTATGAGTGCCTCTGTTTTGCTTGTTAGTTAAGTTTGTTTCATTAGATTCCACATATGAGTGAAATCATATGGTATTTGTTTTTCTGTGACTGGCTTATTTCAGTTAGTATAATGTTCTCCAGGTCCATCCATACTGTTGCAAAGGGTAAAATTTTCTTCTTTTTTATGGCTGAGTAGAATTCCATTGAGTAACTGTCACATAGTTGTTCTACCCACTTGTCTATTGGTGGATACTTGGGCTGCTTCTGTATCTTGGTGATTGTAAATAATGCTGCAGTGAACATAGGGGTGCTTATGTTCTTTTGAATTAGTCTTTTGAGTTCCTTAGTATTTATTCCTAGAAGAGGGATTGCTGGGTCAAAAGGCAGATCCATTTCACATTTTTCAAGGTATCTCCATAGTGCTTTCTACAGGTAGTAGCTGCACTAGTCTGCATTCCCCCCAACAGTCCAAAAGATTCCCCTTTTTCCACATCCTCACTAGCACTTCTTGTTTGTTGATTTATTGATAGCCATTCTGACAGGTGAGAGATGGTATCTCATTGTGGCTTTAATTTGCATTTCTCTGATGATTAGTGACATTGAACACCTTTTCATATGCCTATTGGCCATCTATATGTCCTCTTTTCATAAGTATCTATTCAGTTCCATTGCCCATTTTTTAATTGGGTTGTTTGTTTTTTTGGTGTTGAGTTTTGTAAGTACTTTATAAATTTTGGATATTAACCCCTTATCAGATGTGTTGGCAAATATGTTCTTCCATTCTGTGGATTGTCTTTTTATTTTGTTAATGATTTTCTTTGCTGTGCAAAAACTTTTTAGTTTAATGTGGCCCCATTTATTTATTTTTCTTTTCTTTTCTTTGCCTGGGGATATATATCTATAAAAAATTGATATGAGCAATATCAGAGATTTCACTGCCTATGTTTTCTTCTAGGATTTTTATGGTTTGGGGTCTAACATTTAAGAATTTGATCCATTTTGAATTTACTCTTGTGTGTAGTATAAGAAGGTGGTCTAGTTTCATTTTACTGCATGTATCTGACCAGTTTTCCCAACATCATTTATTGAAGAAACTATCTTTAGCCCATTGTATGTGCTTGCTCTCCTGTTGAATATTAATTAACTATAAAGGTGTGGTTTTATTCCTGAGCTCTCTATTCTGTTTCATTGATCTCTGTGGCAGTTTTGATGCCAGTGCCATGCTAGTTTGATTACTATGGCCTTGTAGTATAGTTTGACATTAGGTAGCGCGATTCCTTCAACTTTGTTCTTTTTTCTCAGTATCCCTGTTGCTAAGCGGGGCCTTTTGTGGTTCATTATAAATTTTTGAAATATTTGTTCTAGTTGTATGAAATATGTCATTGGAATCTTGATAGGAATTGCATTGGACCTATAGATTGCTTTGGGGAATAGAGACATTTAAATGATGTTAATTCTTCCTACCTGTGAACACAGTATGTGCCTCCACTTATTTGTATCTTCTTCAATTTCTTCCTTCAGTGTCTTGTAATTTTCTGAGTACAGGTCTTTTACATCCTTCATTAGGTTTATTCCTAGGTATTTTATTCTTTTTGAAGTAATTGTGAATGGGACTGTTTTCTTAATTTCCCTTTCTGTTAGTTTGTTATTGGCATATAAAAATGCAACTGATTTCTGGACATTAATTCCTAGAAACATTGTATGTTTCTAGGAATTCATGTATCCTGCTACTTTGCTGAATTCATTTATCAGCTCTAGTATCTTGGTGTGAAATGTTTGGTTTGGGGTTCTCTGCCTGGGTGTTTGTTTCTGTCTTCCAAAACACTAATTCGATCCTCTGTTTTATCTAACCTACTGATTATTCCTTCCAGTGTATTATTTATTACAGATAGTGCACAGTATCATGTCCTACAAATAAGGACAATTTCACTTCCTCCTTTCCAGTTTGAATGGTTTTTACTTTTCTTCTTGTTTGATTTCTGTATCTAGGACTTCCAGTCCTATGTTGAATAAAGAGGTGAAAGTGAACATCCCTGTCTTGTTCCTGATCTTAAGGGGAACACTTGTAGTTTTTGCTCATTGAATATGATGCTGGCAGTGGGTTTGTCATATTTGGCCTTTATTATGTCTAGGTATGTTTCCTCTATTCCCATTTTGCTAAGAGTTTTTATCATAAATGGGTTCTTGATTTCATCAAAATCTTTTTCTGCATTTATTGATATGATCATGTGGTTTTTATCCTTCATTTTGTTTATGTGGTGAGTTATATTTATTGATTTGCAAATGTTGTACCATTCTTGCAATCCTGGAATAAATCCTGCTTGATCTTTTTGATATATTATTGCTCTACTTGAATTGCTAATATTTCATTGAGGATTTAGCATCTATGTTTGTCAGGGATATTGGCCTATAACTCTGTTTATCTGGTTTTGGAATTAAGATAATGCTGGCTTTGTGAAATGAGTTTGGGGGCCTTCCCTCCTCTTGGATTTTATAAAATAGTTTGAGGAGAGCTGTTATGTCTTTTCAGAATGTTTGGTAAAATTCACCTGTGAAGACATCTGGTTCAGGGCTTTTGTTTGTTGGGAGTTTTTTGATTACTACTTTAATTTCGTTAGGTGTAATTCTGTCTATTCAAATTTCCCGATTCTTCATGATTTATTTTTGTAACATTGTATGTTTCTAGGAATTCATTCATTTCATCCAGGTTGTCCAGTTTGTTGGCATATAGTTGTTCATAATATTTTCTCACAGTCCTTTGTATTTCTTTGTTGTCAGTTGTTACTTCTCTTCTTTTACTTCTGATTTTATTTATTTGGGTCATTTCTTTTTTTCTTGTTGAGTCTGGTTAAAGGTTTGTCAATCTGGTTTATCTTTTCAAGAAACCAGCTCCTGGTTTCAATGACCTTTTATATTGTTTTTTAGACTCTAATTCATTTATTTCTACTCTGATCTTTATTATTTCTTCCTTTCTACTCACTTTGTGCTTCATTTGTTGTTCTTTTTCAAGTTCCTTTATGCGTAAAGTTAGATTGTTTATTTGAGCTTTTACTTGTTTTTTTGAGCTAGGCCTGTAATGCTATGAATTTTCCTCTATAATTGCTTTCCCAGTGTCCCACAGATTTTGGGTTGTTGTGTCCTCAATTTTGATTTGCTTCAAGGTATCTTTTGATTTCTTCCTTGATCTATTTTTGACCCCCTTGTAGTTTAATAACATGTTATTTAGTGTCCATGCCTTTGTATGTTTTTTCAGTGTTCTTCTTGTGATTGATTTCAGTTTTATAGCATTGAGGTCAGAGAAGGTGGTGGACATGATTTCAATCTT